TCACCTGCAGAGGTGCACAGTGCCTCTGTGAGCCTAAGCACCTGCTCGAGCACCTGCATTTAGTTGCAGATACATGCGGTCTTTGGTTTGGATGTCAGAATACAGCGTACATGTTCAGTGGTTAACAAAACTATTATAGCTTAACTTCCAAATTAACATGTAAGACCATATTTTGCTGTTTTTAATCTGTTAAATTTCTGTTCCTCGTCGTATTACAAATTTCCACATTTGGGATCTGTGTTTAATTCTTCAACATTAACCCAACCGACGAGTTATTGTTGTAAGTAAACTTTGTTATTATATCCTGTGCGGATGAGAATAGAAACTTTTGTTCTTAAGATGAGAAAACTGGCAACAAAAAGCAACACTTCAGTGAAAAACAAAGGGCAACAAACAAGAACACCACTCTGTCTTCTGTCTGTGATTCAGCCATGAATACAACAAAAGCTCTCCACTTGAATGCTTTAGGTTAAGTGAATCAAAGCTGTATGTACAGTTAAAAGCAAACACATACCACAGATGTCTCTTGGGGTGTCTCTTTTTACGGCCCGTGGCATCTACTTTCAGAGCACAAGGAAGCCAGAAACAAACAGTCTGTCCTCAAAAACACTCGATCCAGTGTGTCTAGAAAGCCAAAATAAAACCCAGAGCGGCCGCACTGAGGGAGCGTTTCCTGGACTTTCTGATTTAGTACAAATACTCTTACAGAGAAAATAACAGCTCAGTAAAGCTGGACTGTAGATGATAGAGTAACTTTTGAGTGTATGGTATTTAGATGCCATTTAAATGCATTACATTTACTAATATTTTGTGCTCAACTCTTTCTGATTTTTCAGCCTTGCAGCTGACCTCCACTTTTATTCCAACAAAGAAAACTTTCATGTTTTTCTTCTGCATCTGTGAACATGGAAAGCTATATTTTCCTTGGTTTTCATGTAATAATATTTAGGTCTAAAAGTGCCCGGGCCCATTTTCCTCATGATTCTTGATGGATAATTGATGGATGCAGCAGGCTTATTGATGGTTTCGCTGAGTGATCACAGAATGGCCGGCCCTTCTCATCAGAGCTCACCCCTGTAGTTTCTTATGAGAGGGCAGTGCGCTTTCTTCTTTTAGCAGCCATTACTGCTGCACACAGGCTCAAACACGGACACGGTACCTAAAGCGTGTCCTTTTTCTCTTCACGTGAAATTTAGTATCAGGGTTTTTTCATCACTGAACAAGTTTGATGCCCTCAGAAGAATTTTAAGCCAGAGCCAAAAGTAAATCACCAGAACTGTGATTTTCAATTATTTTATGTTCTTTAACTCAAGTGTAATAAATATTACTAAATGATCAGAAATAACAAGAGGATGCAGAAATTTATGTCACATAAAGTCGCCCAGTATTCATTGAATGCAGAGCAAAGGCCTAATCTGAGCCAGGGAGAGTCCCGTTGTTATACATGTTCTTCAAATGTAGATGGTGCAGTTAATCATTGTTTAAACCCCTGATTTAAAAAATAATAAATAGAATAAATAACTAAGACAAATCCAGCGTTGTCCATGATATATAACCACTGCTACTGTGGCAGCATCCACCCTCAGAGCTTTTGTACTGCAGTGTCAGCCGTCACTGGTGATGACCCTGAAGTATGGTTGCCTTAAAGTTATAAATCACGAATAAAACCTATAAACAGTGAATTTAAACTTGATTAAAGCTAAACTGCATTTTTTTATTGTCCAACAAACCTTTTGGAACTCAGCTGAGACTTTTAGGAATAAACGTTCTTAAAAATGTATTCTCGACGCTGAGTGATTATAATGTCACATGATGTTAACATTAATTCAGGTGCTTTAGCAACATGTGGATATCAGACTGTTAACATGAGCCCCGTGTTTTTCCATCTTATTGATCCTACATATTTAATGTATGTGGAAAGCTCAGGCTCTTCTGTAAATGATGTCAGTCTGAGTTGTGAGATGTTTTGAGGAGGGTTTGACTGCTCAGCACATTTTCTGGGTGATGTTTGCTCTTCTATAAATGATCAGTATAAAATCTGAAACATGTAAAAGAATAAACTGACACTTTCTAGTATTAATGTGCCCCAAACACAAGCATGAGGTTTACCCACCAACTGTAAAAATATGTGAGGAGTTTTTCAACTTGAAGAAAAGTTGGACCAACTTGACCTGATAGAAGTAAAAAGTGGAAACAAGATAGAAGTTTGAATTTAAAAAAAAAAAAAGTTTTGTCAACTTAACATTTTGAACCGTGTGCACGTTGTGTTAGCTAAAGCGTTTTTAATAACTTTATTACATTTAAGAAAAAGTTGTGCAACTCTTTACAGAACTTTGTGGAGCCTCATTGAGCCCCAGTGAGGCTCTACAAAGTCTGACAACTGCAATGACACACTTTCATATTCTGCAGCGCTCTCATGCAGCTCACAGGCTGCTGGAATGTGATTGGTTGTGCTTTTACATGCTAACTTTATTTATAAAAGTTGTGGTAAAAACAAACATTTTTACAACTTGTTTTTCACGACCCGGATCTGCATTCATCTTTTAATGTTACAGTAATGGTTTATGGTGTTAGGGCCACAGATACTTCCTGGGAAATGCCTTTGCTTCCAGACATCACCCTCACACTCAGCAAAGTTGCCACACTGACATAAATATTTAGTTTTTAATATACACTCGTAGTATGCTTATGTTTAGTCTGCTGCCATAGTCCACTTCTTATCTGCACTGTAAGAAATACCTGAATCTCATTTTTCTTCAGTTGAGTCAGACTTACAGTGTTTTCAATGAATAACGCAGACATTGTCATGCAGTTTGGGCCATGCTGCTCGCTGCTGCATTTGAAGTATTTTAGTAAAAAACTCAGGGGGAAGGGAAAAAATCTGCACGCCATTTAGCTCCAGTTTAGGAAGTGGAGTCCTAAAACAGACTTTTGCTACATGCTTGGTGACAATTTCATGATGTAATTTTCCTGTAATTTAGGAATGGATCTGCTCACACTTCCTCTTTTTCTGCATTTAAATATAAACATGCAATATTAAAACAGTGGGCAGTAGGTCACCTTGTGATTGGAAGTACGAGTATTTAATAAAGGAAAACCTTTATCATTCATTTGTCAACACATGTGACATCATATCAAACTGACTGAAAGTCACCTGAGCTGTGAGGTTTAACATTAGCAGAACATCAAAAAGAATTACGACATTGTGGTGATGAAAAATTGTTTTGTTTGCATCTTAAGTAAATAACTTATACCCTATTTTCCTTTGTGTGCTGCCATTTCCACCAGGCCCTTTGAACAGTTGTTAGTGACGCCAGTTATCTGGGATTTAGCGGAGAATGCAAACACACCCCTGTTTTGCCCTCAGAGAATCACACAGAAATAGGAGAGAAGAAATGAAAGGTGGTGAGAAAGAGCGAGCAGTATGGAACATCAAGAGATAATTACAGTTGATTACTGCTTTTTGGATGTGAAGTCTGCATTCAAAGAAAGTGAGTAAGCATGGCTGTGTGGAGCGTTTACAGCAGGGCACACAGGCAGCTTTGAAATATACGTATAGGACATGTAGGCCAATGAAAGCAGCTTTGATTTTATATGAAAGGAATGTGTGTTTGATATTACTGCTTAACAGGGTTTGTGTTTGTTAAAGAGACGATTTCAACCCCGTGCATGTAAAAAAAAAAGAAGAAGAAGAAGAAGAAGAAGCTGAGGTGTCTGAACACATATTTATTACTTTAAGTTTTTTATTTGAAATGTGAGAAGTGCTCGAGCAGTTTACACAGCAGCACGGGACGTCATAAACACCTGTTAGATACTGTAAAATATCTACTTCAGTGTCTTTGTACTACAATTTTTTAAAATTTATGCTGTTCAGTTGCTCTTGACTCATCTCTGGTAATTTTGGAGATGACAGGTTGTGGTTTTGTTGGCAAAGAGTTCATTATGTCTTAAGGCAGCATTCCTTAGCCATTAAAAACATGCCAGTTATTTTCATCTTTGCATGATATTGTTAGTAAGGTACAAGAGTAAGGAGGGTAGCTACTAAAGATTCACTCAAACTGTGTTAACTTTGGTATTTAAATGTCCTGTGGTGACTCTTAAATCATCCTAAACCACATCAGCTTTTTGCACAGTTAAGGTCAAAATCTGCGATAATCAGATGTACAGTATTTACAAATATTAAAAGGCTGGAAATGTACATTAGTTCTTTCCATCCTCGTCTGGACCGCGCAGGAAAGGAGGGAGAGTGAATCATTCTTGAGCTTGAATCAAATCTGAGGAAGAAAGGCTGCCATCACATGGTGTCATCTACTGCAAGATGCACATGCAGGGCAGACAGATAGAGGTGGAGTCCTGACTGGCTGAAATCTGGACTAGACTTTGGAGTCTCTGCATGTTTTCTTGCATGCAAACATTTTTTCCTTTTAAGCATCAGGCTTCATCATACTCTTCAGTTTCCCATCGCCATCCAACACCTGCAAAACAAGGCCACGTGGGGCTGACCAATCAGAATAAGGGTAGAACTTCGAGGATTTAGCCGAGGGGGCGTGGCTAGTGGCGCGGACAGACGTTTGATTGGCTGACTCATTCATTCAGTTACTCTGCACAGCAGCCGTCTCATCCTCAGTTTACCTGAACAGCCCTGCTTGCTCTACAAAGCCTGCATTTACCTGTCGCAGGTACAGACGCAGAAAGCAGGAAGTGGCAAAGATAAATACTCATCTCAGTAATTTGGGCTTTTCAGAGGGAATCGAGACGAAGACAAAAAGGTTTCACTGACACTGAGTTAATAACTCAGAGTTAACAGAAAAGCTGAAACATCTTTGCAGCTCGATCATAAGAAAAGACCCAGTTTCCACTCCCAGACTCTCCTCGTACACGTACTTCACTACGTGCGCCCGGAGCGCTATTACGCACGCCCTCTCCCTCCCTCTCCACCTTTGCCATTCTCTCTCGCTCTCTCCCCCTCTGTCTCTCTCTCCACACACACACACACACACACATACACAACCGCTCTCACTCTTCGTGGGAGAAAGTAAAGAAGGAGAGAGGGAAAGAGAGAGAAGGGAGAGAGAGCGTGATTCCAGGTCTCTCTCTGCTCTCTCCACTTTGGGTACTCGTACCCAATCTGAGTCAATGGGGCTTCAGTGCTAGGGATTAAACTTCAATATCAAATATATTTATTCACCCCAAACCCATTTTAGTCTTTAGGTTTGGTGCATTAATATAGGTAACTCATTAAGGAAGGTTTCCGGAGAAAGGTAAAGACGTCTCCAGAGGCGTGCTTTTTTGTCTGTTTCCTCACAGAAGGGTCAGTCGGGCTCCTCTCGTCGGCTGGCTTTCTGTGAGAGGATAACTTCCCCCATATCCCACATTTACAGCTGACCCAGGCCGGAGAACTACTGCAACACTATGGATATTGGAGCTTGTCCCTTCCGGAAGAAACGGAGACCATGGCGCATGGACTTCTCCTCCTTCGCCTTGGTAACCGTGGCGCTCGCCCTGTGCCAAACAACTGTGGTTCAAGCAGGTAAGACAGATTTTCTACTTTTTATTGGTGATGTTATTTTCATTCTTTAAATAACATTTAAAATATGGTTTCCTGTTTTTTTCTGTCTGAAACGCCATCTGTTTGAATAAACTGTGGCCGTAATGAGTCTGTATCTCTCCGTTATGGGACGTTTGCGCACCTGACGTGCTTCTTTACTTATTCCCAGAAGAATGAGGGCAGTAGTGCCCCATCAGTGGGCCCCACGGTATCCAAATATCTAAATCTGTTTGGTATTTGCTGCATGCAAGAATTACGTCTTTAGACGTTTATATTTTTGAGGACTTAAAGGACTTATTCCTAAAACGCTCTTTTGTGACTTGTGTTTCTCTTTGGGGCCTGAATCTGAACCATACTAACGACTAACTGCTGATATCGAACTGATATTGGTCGGAAAATATTGATCAGGTGATAAAGAGGTGTCCGATTCTGAATCTGAAAAAAAGAACGTATATTCTCGGGCATTCTGTATTTCTCTATGACCATTAACGGCCTTTATCAATTTAAAAAAATAATGCCTTCAAACAAGCTGTTAATTTCCCATTCGTGGAATCTGTCTTCCTCTCTGCATTCAGACTTCTGACAGGTGTCATCATCTGTTCCTGTTACGAAACATACAGATATTTTTTTTATTTGTTTGTTTTAATCTGATCAGTTTCTTTGTGATTTTCCTCCGATCTGAACTCTATGTGCTCTGTATTAACCTGACCTTGTTATCTAGAGTTCCGAATAGTTCTGACAGGATGGTGCTCATTTCTGTGTCCCTACCCGGAGTGGGGCATGAGATAAAACGGTACAAAGTCCTGTTTGGTAGTTTCTGAGGAGCTTTGTCGAATAAAACATTTGGTTTGTTGGATTCTAGTATTTTTAGTTTTTTTTTTTCTTTTATTCTGACTAAATATTGGATTCAGTGTGCACTGGGCTACCAGCTGGAACCATATGAATGTATTTACCAGTTCAACCTGTGCACCAGTCCATCCATCACTGCCTCCGGTTGTTCAAAGAGGAGGGATTTCTGAGGGATCTCAATAAGACAAAGTGAACTTTATTCCCAGCCAACACCCGGCTGGTTTTCCAGGATTATTTTAGTTTGGGATTTTAAACTGTGGACTTCATGAAGGAATGATCCGTATGCGCTGCTGTTCCTTGATAGACCGCTAGTCGTCTCAAGTTATTTTTAACAGAATCCGCGTTTATAGTCTGGATTAGTTCAGACAAAAATCGTGCATTTGATGCTTTTTAGTTTTACCTGAAAAGAAACTCTTTTTTTTTTTAAAGCGTGGCACAAAAAAAGCTGTTTTAGCGCAAACTGCAACTATTTTCATAATAAAAAAATAGTTTTTCACTTTCTATTCGCGTTCATGAACTTTTATAATTTGAAGCAGTTGTTGCTTTGGACGTTAACAGGTTGGCTGTTGGCACAGTTGCAGCAGTTTACGGACCGCGGGGGCTTCTGTGGTATAACTCGCCTCCTCCACTGTATTCTTTGGCCGCGTTTCCAATTTCAGATTGCGAGAGGCGATTGCACCTTCCAGCCGTGTCCCGTGTGTATTTTGGAGGCGGGAGCCTGAGACATTTTTGCTTTTCATGAATAGGTTGTTATGCGGCGGAGCAGCTCGGTCGTCGGGGTTCGGAATTGAAAGCGAGCAGTATCTGCGCGTGTGTGCGCGCTTTGTGCACTTGTGTTTGCGTATGTGCGTCTGCAAGCTATGGCTGTTTGTGTCCAGCTCAGGGTGTGGAAACGTATGCCTCATCTGCATGAATGTGCCTCTGTGTGCAGCAGCCCGGGTAGGCTGTGAGCGCTTATACACCAAATCACAGGGTTTCGTTTGCTGGTAGGAAAAAAGTTTTATAATCACCTGCTCTGTGATAATGTCAGCGTGACGCAAGTAAAACACTCACGCGACCTCTCAGGTCTGTGCTACGTGCGCGTGTGGGGGTTCCTGCTCGCACTGGCCCCGTGCACGGACTGTTGCGCGTTTCTGTGTGCGTGGTGTGGCTCAGCAGCAGATGTCAGAGTAGACTGTAACAGCGCCACCCTGCGGCGGTGAAATGCAGATTCAGAGGGGTGAAGATGGTCTGAATCCCAGATGTTTGCTCTCAGATGTGTCCTGAGAGAATGAAGACGTCGCCATCACCCAGAGAGCAGCACGCCCAGAAACACATGAAAGCAGAGTTTTGTTCAAAGAAGCAGAAATTCAGAGGCCAATATTTTCTTGACATGGATGTTCCTCAACCCCATTTCAAAGGCGACCGCTCCTCAAAGGACAGTCTGTCTCGCTCAGGCTAAACATAACATACTCTGCTCTCTCGCCTTCCCTCACTGCCAGTGAATAGAGCCACTATATGTGGCGGTGGAGCAGGAGCCTGACAGCTCATTCTTGTGATTGAATGGAAGTGTGTGGTATTTCAGCCGCACGTGACTCAGTTTAGCAGCATTAACCCCGTGCCCTTGGTTTTCCCCTGCCCTGTCATCATGTTCCCCTGGGCCCCTGATGTGACACATCTATCCTCTTTCCTCTGTTGTACTTTTTTTGCACACTTTTCCATTTTTTCTCAGAGTTTTTACACTTGGACATCAGGACCCTTCCCCCATCAAATATCTACATTTTACATCCAACAGCCATCACTTTAAAAATGAGATAACGAGCTCTGTCTAACCACAGTGGGGAAAAACTTGCAGTTACAATATCTGGTTTAGTTTTTTCTCAGAGACTTTGTAAAACATTAAACGTTCAGCTGACTTGTGCCCTAAGTTGAGCCTTGCAGGCAGTTCTCATGCACCCTCTCATTCCACGTCTACTTTTGGGATGAATAAATCTCCACCCGTGCTTAAATCTAAACCTAACCATATGTAATGTAAAGTGTCTTTGGTGGTAGAACACGACGTGTGAGACCAGGTTGCCTGAAATGCACAGTTCAGGGCAAACACAGCCCACGTTCTTAATGCCTGTCAGAATGCCATCTAATAGCCAGCAGTTCAAAAACTATTAACAAAGTGGAAGCTGAACACTGACACAGATATCACAGCGCAGCCTACACTGTGCACGGTTTCCTTTTCATCTTTAACACTTCCTGTGTTTCATGGATTCGAGCCTCCACAGATTGTACTCACTCTTGGATTGATGCGTTATTGAATCCAGTGTTGTAACAAAATGTGTGACACGCTGACCTACTCTCTCAGTCTAGACAAGATTAAAGCATGCATACGTCAAAGCTGAGATATGCTGAAACACTCTCAGGCCTCATTTCTAGCCCACGACATCCCCTCAGACTGTGAACATGTGAAATCCTTTCTCAGACAAAACCACATTAGCACTGCAGACTTGAGCGAGCTGAAGATAGTTGGTCTCGTTTCCACAGTTTTATAGGTGATGATTTAGCGGTTTGTGCGTGGGGATAGTCGTTCTTGGGAGACATTCTGTTTGAGCAGAAGATGTGCAAGAACGATGTGAGAGCGTGCCAACTTTATAATGACAGGCTGTCTGTATAGGATGCTATTCCTAGTCACTGTTATTTTGCTGCTTCAAGGAAGTTGATGTGGGAGGGTCTGGAGAGCAGCTGTGTGATTTTACATGTAATGTTAATGTACATCTTTTTTCCAGACATCAATGCTGTCTATGCATTTGAAAATAGTTTTAAATTGTGGCTTTAACCAGTAATGTTTTTAGACTTCACTGGAAAATGCTACCCTGAAGCATGAACGATGACAGAAAAGCACTTTGAAGGTTTTTGGGGCTTTACATTTTCTTAATGCAGTAACCACCAGCTGTCCCACTTAATCCTGCCTCTAAATCTGTTTGTCTTTATTGAGCTCACAGGTGGAGTGGCATTTATGGAGTTTATCCCAGCGTGTATTGTGTGGAAAACAGGGAAAGTCAGAGTTAATTCTATAATAACGACAGAATTTCTAGTATTCAGAGTCGGTGTTTTCAGATTTACAGAGGTGTCTTCAGACTTTATCCCCTTCTTTCTTGGAGTTCTGAGGGTTGAATGCTTTAAGTGTTGCAGTCCTGAAGGAATAATCTTCCTGCATAAGTAAGAATCTCAACACAACTTCACAACGAGTCAAAGTTCTCACGCATTCCCCCTGCAGTGGTGTTTACCCGCCGCCGCCTCACATGTGTTCCTGCAGCCAAATTGTTGCCACAGAATACATGATGAGTGTGTGTGTGTGTGTGTGTGTGTGTGTGTGTGTGTGTGTGTGTGTGTGTGTGTGTGTGTGTGTTTGTTAGGGGATTTCCAACTGCTTACTGCTCCCATTCCTCTCTTTCTTATCGCCTCTTTGTCTGGTTCATTCTTACTTAAAGTGTTTGATTTATGGTAAATATATTATCTCTACTGTGGATAATTTCAGATCTGTGTTAGTTTACAGCATTTAAATGGTAAAATATAGATTGTGGGTAATGTGCAGTAGCAGTTTTCAGAAGGTCTCTCTGTGAAATGATCCAGTTTATGTGTGTGGAGTCTACAAACAGCTTTTATAAGGAGAGAATTATGTCAGCCCACATAAACTGGCACTGATGCTCATTTTTCTTTCTCTGTTATAAAAGTGTTCAGTGTAACGAGTGCTTTTCAGTTAAAAGTGTAGATTGTGATGTGCACTGTTCAGACTTGTGAAGAACATCCAGAGCTCAGCTGTGAAGGCCTCTCATTCAGCACAGGGGCACCAACCGTCTTAAGACTGGTGTCTAATTTGTGTCTTTGCTCTCTGTCTGCTCTGTGTGATAGTAAGTTACAGGGACTCACTCGTGACTGCCTCCTGCTCCGGGGCCTTCTGGTCCCGGGTAGGCTTTGTGGTGTCAGTAGCCACCCTCAGATCCAAACTGAGACTGCGGCCTGCAGCTTTGAAACCACACACGACTCTGCATGATACACGTCGGCATCATCGGGGACGCACACGCAGACTGGCACAGACCACATAATGGCACACGGGGAGCTGCCGTACAGTAAATGTTGGCACTGCCCTGCAGTTACTTATA